TTATTTTCTGGATTTCTTATATTTTGCTTTATTTTTTGCCTTATTTTGTTGAATCAAATATCCTCACATCACTGCCTTACTTGCATTCCATATTGTTTGGTAGGAAGTCTCTTCAGTGGTGTTCAGTTTGAAGAATTCTTTTAATAACTCTTTATTCTTGTTTATATCTTCCTCCGATCATAAGAGATTATTATTTAATCTCCATCTCCTTGTTTGGTTTCCAAATGCGAATTTGAATTCTATAGGGCAGTGATCCGAGTTTGTTCTGGGTAATATTTTTAATTTTTGAACCTTTGTAGATAGTCTATTAGTGGTCCAAACCATGGAGAGCAATGAACAATCTTGATAAAATAGTGAAGAGTAGGGACATCACACTGGCAACGAAGATTTATTTATTTATTTATTTACTTTACTTGTATACCGCAGTTTCTTAGCCCAACAGGCGACTCAACGCGGTTTACAACAAGGATAAAAAACAATCAACGATATACAATTTAAAACCATAAAAGCATAATATACAATATTGAACAACCATAGACAACACAATACATCTCATAACTGGAGTCGTGATCCAATCCGTCGTCCAAATTTCCATTCCTGTAATTATCACATTCATTGCACTGTTTAACCGAATGCCCGTTCAAACATCCAAGTTTTTAATCTTCTTCGGAACACCATTAGCGAGGGGGCTGATCTTACCTCCATAGGAAGGGCGTTCCACAGCCGGGGGGCCACCACAGAAAAGGCCCTGTCTCTCGTCCCCACCAGCCGCACCTGTGAAGAAGGCGGGATAGAGAGCAGGGCCTCCCCAGAAGATCTTAGGGTCCTGGCGGGCTGATGGGCAGAGATACGTTCGGATAGGTAACTTGGGCCAGAACCGTTTAGTAAAAGCAATGGTATTCCCCATAGTCACCTACGGATGTGAGAGCTGGACCATTGGGAAGGCTGAGTGAAGAAAGAGAGGTGCTTTTGAACTGTGTTGTTGGATGAAAGTTCCGAGAGTACCTTGGGCAGCGAGAAGATCCAACTAGTCCATACTTCAAGAAATAAAGCCCAAGTGTTCATTAGAGGGAAGGATTGTAGAGGCCAAGATGAAGTATTTTGGCCACATCATGAGAAGACAGGAAAGCTTAGAGAAGACAATGGTGCTGAGGAAAATGGAAGGAAAAAGGAAGAGGGTCTGACCAAGGGCAAGATGGATGAATGGCATCCTTGAAATGACTGGATTGACCTTGAAGGAGTTGGGGGTGGTGACGGCTGACAGGGAGCTCTGGTGTGGGACGGTCCATGAGGTCACGAAGAGTCGGAAACGACTGAATGAATGAACAACAGATAAGTAAATACGTAAAATATATGTGTATATATTATGTAATAATATTATGTAAATGAGCCCCCGGTGGCGCAGTGGGTTAAAGCGCTGAGCTGCTGAGCTTGTTTACGAAAAGGTCACAGGTTCAATTCCGGGGAGTGGTGTGAGCTTTTGTTGTCAGCTCTAGCTTCTGGCAACCTAACAGTTCGAAAACATGCAAATGTGAGTAGATCAATAGGTACCGCTCCGGCGGGAAGGTAATGGCACTCCATGCAGTCACGCCGGCCACATGACCTTGGAGTTGTCTATGGACAACGCCGGCTCTTTGGCTCAGAAATGAAGATGAGCACCACGCCCCAGAGTCAGACATGACTGGACTTAATGTCAGGGGACAACCTTTACTTTTTATATTATACTAGCTTGGGGACCCGGTGCTGCCCGGGTTATTTGAGAAAGGAATTGTGTATCAAGGTTGGTCTTTTTCAGTTATTTATATGGCTTGCAGTGGTCTCAGGAAGTTAGTGGAAGTACTGTGAGTCCCATCATCTGTGATCCATCCTCCTCCAAAATGCACCAGGATGGAGAGTGGGTCATGGGGGCTGTGTGTGCCAAGTTTGGTCTTGATCGGTCATTAGATGAGGGTTGCAGCAGCCTTGGGAAGTGAGTGGAGGTACTTGAAGTCCCATCATCCATAGTCTGTTCTCCCCCAAACCTCACTAGAATGTTGAGTTGGCCATGGGGGCTCTCTGTGCCAAGTTTGGTATTTATTGGTATTTGGATGAGTGTCGCTGTGGTTTCAGGAAGTGAGTGAAGGTACTGCAAATCCCATTATCCATCGTCTGTCCTGCTCCAAACAGCACCGGGATGTAGAGTTGCTCATGAGGGGTCGGTGTGCCTAGTTTGCTCTTGATCGGTCATTAATGAGGGTTGCAGCAGTGTTGGGAGGTGAGTGGAGGTACTTGAAGTCCCATCATCCATGGTCTGTCCTTCTCGAAAGAGCACCAGGATGTAGAGTGGCTCATGAGGGCTCTGTGTGCCAAGTTTGGTCTTGATCAGTCATTGGCAAGACTCTCAGTGGTCTCAGGAAGTGAGTGAAGTGACTGCAAGTCCCATCATCCATCTCCAAATTCTTCCAAACCGCACCAGGATGTAGAGTGGGTCATGCGGGCTCTCTGTGTAAATTGTGGTCCTGATCCATCATTGTTGGCAGTTGTAATGGTCTTAAGAAGGAAGTGCAGGTATTGCAAGTCCCATCGTCCATGGTGCATCCTCCTCCAAACTGCACCAGGATGTAGAGTGCATCATGGAGACTCAGTGTGCCAAGTTTGGTCTTTATCGGTAATTGGATGAGGGTTGCAGTGGTCTCAGGAATTGAGCAAAGGTACTGCAAGTCCCATAATCCATGGTCCATCCCCAGCCAAACCACACCTGGACGTAAAGTGGGTCATGAGAGGTCTATGTGCCAAGTTTGGTCCTGATCAGTCATTGGATGAGGTTAACAGCGGTCTCAGAATGTGAGTGATGTCCCATCATCCATGGTTCATCCTCCTCCAAACTGCAGTAGGATGTCGAGTGCGTTCAGTCGTTTCTGATCTTCGTGACCTCATGGACCAGCCCACGCCAGAGCTCCCTGTCGGCCGTTACCACCCCCAGCTCCCTCAAGGTCAGACCAGTCACTTCAAGGATGCCATCCATCCATCTTGCCCTTGGTCGGCCCCTCTTCCTTTTGCCTTCCACTTTCCCCAGCATAATTGTCTTCTCTAGGCTTTCCTGTCTCCTCATGATGTGGCCAAAGTACTTCATTGTCTCTAGTATCCTTCCCTCCAATGAGCAGTCGGGCTTTATTTCCTGGAGTATGGACTGGTTGGATCTTCTCGCAGTCCAAGGTACTCTCAGCACTTTCCTCCAACACCACAGTTCAAAAGCATCTCTCTTCCTTCGCTCAGCTTTCCCTAAGGTCCAGCTCTCACATCCGTAGGTGACTACAGGGAATACCATGGCTTTACTATGTGGATCTTCGTTGCCAGTGTGATGTCTCTACTCTTCACTATTTTATTGAGACTGGACATTGCTCTCCTCCCAAGAAGTAAGCGTCTTCTGATTTCCTGGCCACAGTCTGCATCTGCAGTAATCTTTGCACCTAGAAATACAAAGTCTGTCACGGCCTCCACATTTTCTCCCTCTATTTTCCAGTTGTCAATCATTCTTGTCGCCATAATCTTGGTTTTTTTTGATGTTTAGCTGCAAGCCAGCTTTTGCGCTTTCTTCTTTCACCTTGATTAGAAGGCTCCTCAGCTCCTCCTCGCTTTCGGCCATCAGAGTGGTGTCATCTGCATATCTGAGGTTGTTAATGTTTCTTCCAGCAATTTTCACCCCAGCCTTGCATTCATCAAGCCCCGCACATCGCATGATGTGTTCTGCATACAAGTTAAAAAGGTTGGGTGAGAGGATGCAGCCTTGCCGTACGCCTTTCCCAATATTGAACCAGTCTGTTGTTCCGTGGTCAGTTCTGACTGTTGCTACTTGGTCCTTGTACAGATTCCTCAGGAGAGAGACAAGGTGGCTTGGTATGCCCATCCACCAAGAACTTGCCACAATTTATTATGATCCACACAGTCAAAGGCTTTAGAATAGTCAATGAAGCAGAAATAGATGTTTTTCTGAAACTTCCTGCCTTTCTCCATTATCCAGCGGACGTTGGCAATCTGGTCTCTCGTTCCTCTGCCTTTTCTAAACCCAGCTTGAACATCTGGCAACTCTCGCTCCATGTATTGCTGGAGTCTTCCTTGCAGGATCTTGAGCATTACCTTACTGGAATGAGAAATAAGGGCCACTGTACGGAAGTTTGAGCAGTCTTTCGCATTTCCCTTTTTTGGTATGGGGATATAAGTTGATTTTTTCCAGTCTGATGGCCATTCTTGTGTTTTCCATATTTGCTGGCATATGGCATGCATCACCTTGACAGCATCATCTTTTAAGATTTTAAACAGTTCAGCTAGGATCCCGTCGTCTCCTGCTGCCTTGTTGTTAGCAATGCTTCTTAAGGCCCATTCAACCTCACTCCTCAGGATGTCTGGTTCTAATTCATTCACCACACCGTCAAAACTATCCTCATATTATTATCCTTCCTATACAGATCTTCTGTATAGTCTCGCCACCTTCTCTTGATCTCTTCAGCTTCTGTTAGGTCCCTGCCATCTTTGTTTCTTATCATACCAATTTTTGCCTGAAATTTACCTCCAATGTTTCTAATTTTTTGGAAGAGGTCTCTTGTCCTTCCTATTCTGTTGTCTTCTTCCACTTCCATGCATTGCTTGTTTTAAAATAGTTCCTTATCACTTCTTTCTAACCTTTGGAATTGTGCATTTAATTGGGCATATCTCCCCTTATCACTGTTTATTTTGCTTTCCTCCTTTCTTGGGCTACTTCCAGTGTCTCAGCATGTCTATATACTACACAATTCACAATGGAGGCCTATCCTGATTCTGAATTGACCAGAGGTTGACGGCTGTCAATCAACCAGCAAACCCACCCACGGCTGCCACTAAGAAAAGAGTAGGGCTCGCAGGTGAGGAGACGTCGGCGTTTCATTGGTTGTGAGAGAAAATGCCCATCCCCGATTGGCCGCTTGGAACCACGTCCTCCCGCCCCCTCCTTCCCAGATAACCAATCAGGCGAATGTCCCGCCCCTCTGCTCAGCCGGCGAGGGGGCGTGGCTTCGAGCACGGCCTTGCGAGTCCGAGCGTCTTGTGCTGGCTGGCGAGGCGCGCGAGGGCCCCATGGGGACACAGGAGGCCGGCAGCAGCGGCGGCGGGGGCCCGTTCTTCACCTTGGCCGAGGTAGCGAAGCGGAGCACCGGCAAAGAGACCTGGCTGGTCATCCACGGGCGCGTCTACGACGTCACCCGCTTCCTGGACGAGGTGGGTCGGCTGCCTGACGCAAATGAGGCCCGCTCTCCCCTCAGGAGGGGGAAAGCCGTCTCGGAGAGACCCGGATGTGGGCGGGGCCTGACTGGCTCACACATTCGGGGGCGGGGCCACCGTGGAGCAGAGGCCACGCCCCCTCGGAGCCTGGAAATCCACCTCTCAGGTTTTTTTTCAGGAAGTTGGATTAGAAATCCAATGCCCTTGGTAGTTCAAATGGTATCAAAGTGCGTTAATTCTACAGTGTAGATGCAGCCTTAAATTGCTACTGGGATCTGCATTATTATTATCATTATTATTTCATGAAATATTTAATAAATGACTCCATTACTGCTTACCTGCTTAAGGCAGGTATTTATTTATCGTGTCATCAGCAACCAGACCATTGTATTACATTTCTAACAGAACAAAACAAACGAACAGATAAAAAAAACACAAATTTTGCAAACTTGGTAGTTGATTAAATGTCCTTGGACCAGTATCTGGTCCACGCTCTTGTTACATCCCGGATAGATTACTGCAACGCACTCTACGTGGGGTTGCCTTTGAAGACTGTTTGGAAACTTCAATTAGTTCAGCGGGAGGCAGCCAGATTGCTCACCGGAGCGTCATACAGGGAGCATACCACCCCCCTGTTGTGTCAGCTCCACTGGCTGCCGATCCAGTTCTGAGCACAATTCAAAGTGCTGGTTTTGACCTACAAAACCTTATACGGTTCCGGCCCAGCGTATCTGTCCGAACACATCTCCCTCTACGTCCCACCTCGGAGTTTGAGATCCTCTGGGGAGGCCCTGCTCTCGGCCCCGCCTCTGTCACAAGTGAGATTGGCGGGGACGAGGAGCAGGGCCTTCTCAGTGGTGGCCCCTCAGTGGTGGAATTCACTCCCCAGGGAAATTAGATCAGCGACATCCCTCCTTTCCTTTAGAAAGAAATTAAAAACATGGATGTGGGACCAGGCGTTTGGGCAATCTGGCAGATAAATAAAGGACTGCGACGACGGATAGGAATAGACAATGTGGAACGAAGTATGGACTCTGAGTTGGCGAACACTGTGCTTGAGATTGGCTATTGACTGTAATATATATTGTTGTTTTAATTGTTTAACCGTTTAACTTCTGTTTTTATACGTTTATTGTATTACTGTGTAGGCATCGAATTGTGCCATTTTGTAAGCCGCCCTGAGTCCCCCTCGGGGGTTGAGAAGGGCGGGGTAGAAGTATATGAAATAAACAAATAAATAATAAATCTGGCCACTTGGAGTGCCTCTGGTGTTGCCGAAGAAGATCCTCCATTGTGGATTTGGCAGGACTCAGGTTGAATTGCAGCAGGTGGTCTGTGGTTTGCTCTTCTCCGCACTCGCATGTCATGGATTCGACTTTGTGGCCCCATTTCTTAAGATTGGCTCTGCATCTCATGGTGCCAGAGCGCAGTCTGTTCAGCGCCTTCCAAGTTGCCCAGTCTTCTTTGTGCCCAGGGGGGAGTCTCTCATCTGGTATCACCCACAGATTGAGGTGCTGGGTTTGAGCCTGCCACTTCTGGACTCTCGCTTGCTGAGTGTTCAAGCGAGTGTCTCTGTTGATCTAAGAAAACTATTTCTTGATTTAAGTCGTTGACGTGCTGGCTGATACCCAAACAAGGGATGAGCTGGAGATGTCTCTGCCTGGATCCTTTCACTATTGGCTGCAACTTCCCGATGGATGTCAGGTGGTGCAATACCGGCTAAGCAGTGTAATTTCTCCAGTGGTGTAGGGTGCAGACACCCCGTGATAATGCGGCATGTCTCATTAAGAGCCACATCCACTGTTTTAGTGTGGTGAGATGTGTTCCACACTGGGCATGCATACTCAGCAGCAGAGTAGCAAAGCAAGGGCAGATGTCTTCACTGTATCTGGTTGTGATCCCCAGGTTGTGCCAGTCAGCTTTTGTATGATATTTTTTCTAGCAGCCACTTTTTTCTTCATATTCAGGCAGTGTTTGTAGGTCAGAGAACAGTCCAGCTGCAAGAAGGTCCTCCATTGTGCATGTGGCAGGGCTCAGGTTGCATTGCAGCAGGTGGGCAGTGGTTTGAAGGAATCCCACTGGAGCATTGCAGCGCACCCAAATACCTGGGAGTCACTCTGGACCGTTCTCTGACCTACAAGAAGCACTGCCTGAACATCAAACAAAAAGTGGGTGCTAGAAACAATATCATACGAAAGCTGACTGGCACAACCTGGGGATCACAACCAGATACAGTGAAGACATCTGCCCTTGCGCTATGCTACTCTGCTGCTGTGTACGCATGCCCAGTGTGGAACACATCTCACCACACTAAAACAGTGGATCTCACCACACTAAAACAATACAAGCAATAACAACAATACAAGCAATTAAAAACATAAACAATAAAATACACAACATTATCAATAAGGCAACACACAATTAAAAAGAGTGGGAAGGCCAAATGTAGAGTTAAAATTGGAAATAATGCTGGGACATGGACGAAAGGTGATACTGGTGTTTGGCTTTGAAGCTGGCAGGCTATTCAATGCTAATCAAGCTGGTTAGTTGCAACATTCACACTTGCCTCCAACAGACAAGAGTTCCTTCTCCCACCCTGGACATCCCACAGAGATATAATCCCCATTTTCCTAGTTTCCAAGAGGCCTCACAACCTCTGAGGATGCCTGCTATAGATGTGGGGGAAACGTCAGGAGAGAATGCTTCATTAAAATATACAAAGATGCAAATATTAAAACATAATTAAACAAAAACAGCACTTTAAAAATCACAGTTAAAATCCATCAAAATATATGCAAATATTAAAACCACAGCACCCCCTGACTAGATGTACCAGTATATATGTTTTGTGTATACAAAACCCTTTTAGTGATTGTGTTTATTGGAATGTTATTTGTTACTGTGTTTATACTTTTTTTTCTATGTAATTTTGATGATGTTGCTTGTTGTTTATGTTCTGGTTTTATTTTGCTGTAACATGTTGTCCAGGCTTGGCCTCATGTAAGCCACTCCGAGTCCCCATTGGGGAGATGGTGGCGGAGTATAAATAAAGATTATTATTATTATTATTATTATTATTATTATTATTATTATTATTGATGGCTAACTATTTAAATGGTGTATTCCCCCCCCCCCTTTTTTTCCCTTAATTTATTTAAGGGAACAGGGTTGTCACTGAGGCCCTATTTATATGGCCACATCTAGATTATTTGCTTTGAACTGGATTATATTGCAATGTAGACGCAGCCTGAATTTTCCAAGGCGTTTTTTGACAGTTAAAGTGGTGTCACACTGCATTAGTTCCACAAGTGCAGATGCACTCAAGTGGCTCAACAGTTTAGAGGCCATTTGGTCAGAGTTTTGCAAGCCAGTTGATTGCTGGTCTGTTTGTATGTCGATGGGTGACTACTTAAAACCAGTTTTGTTTATAGTGTGATGCAATGGAAGTGAAGACATTGGACTCTCGGGCGGCAGAGGCGCCTTGGAATGAAGGAGACCTGGCTACTCCGGAAAGATTCGCAATGATTTCCTAAGACGCCTTTCCTTTATATTAGCCCTTGAAAGACATTCTATTTTGAGTGCCCTTTGTCCTGGTATACAACCAGATATACAGCTCAAATATACACCACAATAAAACAGAACTACCATAATGCGACAGAGAAATCTGTAAATAATAATAAATCAAGAGGGACTCGGTGACCGGGCCACACTTTAAAGGTCTGAGCAAACAATAATACTTTGGTCTAGAGCCGAAAACATTGTCATATTGGTAACCCTTGTACTTCGATGGTATGAAGACACATGATGTCCTTCTTTTAGTGAGGATGATGATGAATAGGATCCACAAAATAGGTTCATAACTAATGTTGCAACCAACCCTGATTAGAAAGGAGTATCTGAAATACCGGTATTCTTCTTGGGCTGCGTCTACACCAGGCATGGGCAAACTTGGGCCCTCCAGGTGTTTTGGACTTCAACTCCCACAATTCCTAACAGCCGGTAGGCTGTTAGGAATTGTGAGAGTTGAAGTCCAAAACACCTGGAGGGCCCAAGTTTGCCCATGCCTGGTCGACACTGTAGAATTGATGTACTTTGGCACCACTATACCTGCCATGCTCAGTGCTATGGGATCATGAGAGTTGTAGTTTTGCAAGGCCTTTAGCTGTCAGTTGTCCTAGAGCACGCTGGACCTCATCAAACTACAAATCCCAGGCTTCCATAGCATTGAGGCATGGCAGTCACAAATGGAGTCAAATTGACTGGTATATTTGGTGTGTATTGCCCTAAATTACGAGAAAAAAAGAGAGTTTTTTGTGTGTTTTCCGGGCTGTCTAGCCATATTCCAGAAGCATTCTCTCCTGACGTTTCACCTGCATCTATGGCAGGTATCCTCAGAGGCTGTGAGGTCTGTTGGAAACTAGGAAAATGGGGTTTATATATCCGTGGAATGTCCAGGGTGGGAGGAAGAACCCTTGCGTAACAGTAAATACAGAACAACACTAAAAAATGGGGGAATTCCAGCCAAGAAACAATCAGGACCAGCTAATCACCTCTCAATGAAGGATTCCCCCATGCAATAAGAAGCCAGACCTTGAAAACTGTTAGGCTATTAAATTCTAATCAAGGTAGGTTCTTGTAGGTTTTTCAGGCTGTATGGCCATGTTTTAGAAGCATTCTCTTCTGACGTTTTGCTTGCATCTATGGCAGGCATCCTCAGAGGTTGTGAGGTCTTACAACAACCCAGTGATTCCAGCCATGAAAGCCTTCGAATAATCAAGGTGGCCAGTTGCTACATTCACAACTACCTCCAACAGACAAGAGTTCTTTCTCCTACTCTGGACATTCCACAGATATATAAACCCAATTTTCCTAGTTTCCAGCAGACCTCACAACCTCTAAGGATGCCTGCCATAGATGCAGGTGAAATGTCAGGAGACAATGCTTCTGGAACATGGTCAGACAGCCCAGAAAACACACAATAACTCAGTGATTCCAGCCATGAAAGCCTTCAATAAGACAGTGATTGCAATGTTTTATATGTTTTAATGCCCAGTGATTCCGGCCATGAAAGCCTTTGACAATAAAAAGAGGGATATAAGTAATAATAAATTATTATTATTAATAATAATAATAATAATAATAATATAATAATAATAATAATAATAATTTCAACAGTGTAGATGCCCCTTAGGCTGCAGAGTAAAAAAAGTAGTCGCTTTGAGTTTCCTTTCAGAGAGGAAATTGTGACAAAAATAATAACAACAATAACAATATTTCTGCAGTCCTTTATAACTGAATTATTGACCAACATGAGCCCAGCAAAGAGCATTTTGAAATTTTCCTGTTCCAGTATTGCTTGTCTTGTGGCCTTCTATTCTTTGCTTGAAAATTGGGGAAAATATAGCTGAGTTTCATTCGTAACCGAGTATATCACTACAAATAATTTGAGCATTTTGACTCAAGTTCAGTTCTTGTAATTTCATCTTTTTTATCCCATCCCAATATCATAGAATGATAGAGTTGGAAAAGATCTCATGGTCCATCTAGGCCACCCCATGCTATGCAGAAAAAGCACAGTCAAGGCACCGCCAACAGATGGCCATCCAGCCTCTGTTTAAAAGTCTCCAAGGAAGGAGCCTCCACCACACTCCGAGGCAGAGAGTTCCACTACTGAACAGCTTTTCCCATTTTGGTCTAATCTTACTACCTTTTAACATAATACCTATCAACACAAAGAAGAATGTCCCTTTTCTTTGCAGATGAGAACGTACTAAGACAGCATTTCTCAACCTGGGGTCGGGTTTCAGAGAGGTCACCAAAGACCATCCAAAAACACATATTTTTGATGGTCTTAGAAACCCCTTTGGCAGAGAAGTCTGAAGATCTCTCCACCTGCCCTTCTCTTCCTTTTTGGAACCTGACTGCAAATCCTCCCTACAAAAGCCCTCCACCGCTGTGATTGGCCGGCCTCTCAGCAAAGGGAAGGGCTGTTTCTGAGACTCCAGGCGGGGAGGGGGGAGCAGGCGTGCTCAGTGCATGGTAGCATGGTGTGCATGTGCGGGCAAGGGAGAGCAGGCAAGGCTGGAGGGAGGCTTGCGTCAGTGAGTCCCTTCAAGGTATGGGGATTCTGTGTGGGAAGTTTGACCCAATTCTATCGTTGGTGGGGTTCAGAATGTTCTTTGATTGTAGGTGAACGGTAAATCCCAGCAATTACAACTCCCAAATATCAAGGTCTATTTTCCCCAAACTCCACCAGTGTTCACATTTGCGCATATTGAGTATTGGCACCAAGTTTGGTCCAGATCCATCATTGTTTGAGTCCACAGCGCTCTCTGAATGTAGGTGAACTACAACTCCAAAACTCAAGGTCAATGACCACCAAACCCTTCCAGTATTTTCTATTGGTCATGGGAGTTCTGTGTGCCAAGTTTGTGTCAATTTCATCATTGGTGGAGTTCAAAATGCTCTTTGATTGTAGGTGAACTATACATCCCAGCAACTACAACTCCCAAATGACAAAATCAATCCCTCCCCAAACGCCACCAGTATTCAAATTTGGGCGTATTGGGTATTTGTGCCAAATTTGGTCCAGTGAATGAAAATTCATCCTGCATAACAGATATTTACATTACGATTCATAACAGTAGCTAAATGACAGTTATGAAGTCGCAACAAAAATAATTTTATGGTTGGGGGTCAACACAACATGAGGGGTTGCGGCATTAGGAAGGTTGAGAAACACCGTACTAAGGAATGAAGGCAAAGGGACCTGATGCTGATGAAAGTCGCTTGAGCAACAGGGCTGTTGTGTGTTCTCCTCTCCCAGAAAGGCAGACGGGATTTGTGTCAGCCTATATATATGTATGGTCTGTTCTTCACTTTGAAGTCTAACCACAAAGAGAGAGGACAAAGTCAATTGCTGGGGGCTTAGCTGAAGCCGTTGCCTTGCCTTGCCCTTTGTTGTCTTTCTGGGGAGAAATGTGAGGCCTGCCAGAGGGGGAAGCCGGTTGACGTCAATGGGGAGTGGCCCCCTCACCTGCCCACAGAGCCTACCTTACCTCGGGGCCCCTTGAGGGCTTGTCTGGGCCTGTTTTCCCAGCTTTGCCCCTTCTGACCCCACGAAAGACAGTGGACTTGACAACCTGGGGACATGGAGCCCAACGTCATTCACTGCCGTCAACAGTCTCCCAGTCTCCCTTGCTAGGAGGATCCTGTGCCCTGATACTGTCTCTACCAGGGTCACACGACCAACAGCAACATGTGCTGTCGGTCTGTCTCCAGACACACTTTTATAATATTACAAAAAGGAGAGTGTGACTTCTGAATCTTCTATAGAGCCCCCGTATCCACTATTCCACTTACTCCTTCCAGGATGGAGGGGAATTGTTCCACTTACTCCTTCCTTTAGGAATTTGCTAGATCCACCACTCAATTGCTTCCCTGGAAGCACCCACATTTGAATACTGGTGGAGTTGGGCGGGATTGATTTTGTCACTTGGGAATTGTAATTGCTGGGATTTATAGTTCAGCATTCTGAACTCCACCAACGATTAAATTGAACCAAACTTGGCACACAGAACTCCCATGACTAACAGAAAATACTGGAAGGGTTTGGTGGGCATTGACCTCCAGAGAGCACTGTAGACTCAAAAAATGATGGATCTACGTATTGTTGAAGGCTTCCATGGCTGGAATCACTGGGTTGTTGTAGGTTTTTCGGACTATATGGCCATGTTCTAGAAGCATTCTCTTCTGACATTTCACCTGCATCTATGGCAAACATCCTCAGAGGTAGTGAGGTCTGTTGGAACTAGGAAAATTTGGTTTATATATCTGTGGAATGTCCAGGGTGGGAAAAAGAACTTTTGTCTGTTGGAGGCAGGTGTGAATGTTTCAGTTGGCCACCTTGATTAACATTTGATGGCCTGGCAGTTTTTTGGTGTGGCTTGTTAGTGCCTGGGGAATCTTTTGTTGAGAAGTGTTTAGCTCTCTCTGATTGTTTCCTCTGTGGAGTTGCCCTGTTGTGAGTGTTGTTTTACCATTATAATTTTAGACTTTTAAAAAATACTGGTAGCCAGATTTTGTTCATGTTCGTGGTTTCCTCCTCTCTTTTGAAATTGTCCACATGCTTATGGGTTTCAGTGGCTTCTCTATGTAGTTTGACATGGTGGTTGTTAGAGTGGTCCAGCATTTTTGTGTTCTCAAATAATATGTTGTGTCAGGTTGGTTCATCAGGTGCTCTGCTATGGCTGATTTCTCTGGTTGGAGTAGTCTGCAGTGCCTTTCATGTTCCGTGGAGGACCTTGCAAATCCCTAAAGAGTACATCAATGCTGTAGAATGAATTGCACCACTTTTAACTGCTATGGCATCCTGAGAATTGTCGCTCTTAGATTAGGGTCGTGTCTACACCATTGATTTAATGCAGCTAGATATACTGCTTTAATGGCTATGTCTCAATGTTATACGATGTTGGGATTTATAGTTTGGTGAAGCTCCAGTCAACTTTGGAGAGAAGGCTCAAGACTTGGAAACTGCAACTCCCAGGATCCCATGGCAGTCAAAGTGGTGTCCAACTGCATTCATTCTGCTGTATAGATGCATCCTAAGAATTTCTTCCAGTGCTATTCTGCAATATGCTGGGACCAGAAGTCTGCTTATTTCATGGCGTTTGGACATGTTTATGATTTTAGGAAGGTGTGATTCACTGAAACATCTCCCCTGTGGATATATGGGTCGTATTGTGTATAAATAACTCTCTTTGTGAATTAAGTGCTGTTTTTGTTTCAATGTGCTTTTGGCCTCCAGAGTCACCACCCTTTTGAAAGCTGGGTTTCAGACAATGGCAGCAGCACTGAAAGCAGGAGGAAATAATAATAAAACAGCTCAAGTCCTCATAGGAGGAAGCTGAGGGTTGCGCCAGGAAGCCTTGGCATTTATTGGGTTATATATGTAAAGACTCCTGTGCTTGGCCACTAAAAGTGGGGTCCTACTCTTGCTTTTTCCTTATGCTCTTTGTCAATTCTTGTCAGCATCCTGGTGGAGAGGAGGTTCTGCTTGAACAAGCCGGTCAGGATGCAACGGAGAGCTTCGATGATGTGGGCCACTCTGAAGACGCCCATGAAATGCTCAGACAGTACCTCATAGGAGAAGTTCACCCGGTGAGACACTGCTCCTGTTATTATTATTATTATTATTATTCTGACACAAAAATACAGTATGTCACAGAAAACGAGATATATATGCTGGATTTAGTATTATTATTATTATTATTATTATTATTATTATTATTATCATTATCACAAAAGCACAGTATGTCAGAGCAAACGAGATCTATATGCTGGATTTCGTATCACAAAATCACAAGTCAAACACTTCCCAAGCATCTAGGACTGTGTGATGTATTTTCAAATGATGAGTGCAGATCTAAGTAAAGTGGCCTTTTGCAGTTGACAGATCGTGATTTTGTCAATGGTTATTGTTCCCAAATGCTGGCTGAGATCTTTTGGCACGGCACCCAGTGCGCCAATGACCACTGGGACCACCTGTACTGGTTTATGCCAGAGCCTTTGCAGTTCGATTTTGAGATCGGAGTTTTTCCTGTTGTTTTTCCTCAATGCGGCTGTCACCTGGTATGGCGACATCAATAATCCAGATTTTTTTCTTTTCCACAATCGTGATGTCTGGTGTATTGTGTTCCAAAACTTTGTAATTCTGGATTCGAAAGTCCCACAGTATTTTTGCGTGTTCATTTTCCATTACCTTTGCGGATTTATGATCCCACCAATTCTTTACAGCTTGCAGGTGGTACTTGTGACATAAGTTCCAGTGAATCATCTGGGCCACAGAGTTGTGTCTTTGTTTGTAGTCCGCCTGTGCAATTTTCTTGCAACAGCTGAGAATATGATCCATGGTTTCATCCGCTTATTATTATTATTATTATTATTATTATTATTATTATTATTATTGCCACCTAAAGTTTTTAACGCTAAGATAGCTTCCCAGCTGCAGTATTCTTCCAGCACCTGAATTGGGGGCCTAACATCAAAAATAGACCAATAGCAAATACAGTTTTTGAGAGCCCTTTTCCAGCTTCCCAGATGTATCCCATTCTGTGTCTTATTACTTGAATCCAGGGAAGCACCCCTGTCAATAAGAACCTGGGGGTGAGCACTTAAATATTGACTCAAGATCAGAGTTTTTAGTTTAAGATCCAGTTTGATTCATCATTTAGCTCAGGATGAGTACATAAGCAGTTTGTTTAAGATCAATTCTAAGAAAGCCTCCTTCATTGGCCTTTCCACACCCCTCCTAACTCATCTGGGTTGTGACATGGCTCTCAAATCAATCAAACAGAGATGGTGGGATATTGACTTTGGTGAGCTGCACTCTCGTTCTTATGTATCTTGCTCCCCTAGTGCCCTGTCCATACATTATGTTGGGCTTTTCCATGCAGCAAACTATCTAAAGAACTTGACTGTGGCCAAATACCGCTGCCTATTTTCCAAAGCGAGGTGCAATGTGCTCTTGTCTGAATGGCTGCGTGGAAGATTTGCAGGTACTCCATACAATGAAAGACTGCCCATGTAACAAACTGGAAGTAGAATGCATCTCCCACATTCTACTCTCATGCAGTTTCTATGAACAGGCCCGAGCACACATAATCAACCCGCTACTAAGAAACTGACCAACAAGTCCAGGGAAATTTTATGTGAAGTTTCTACTTAGTGACAACCTTCCCCACATGACCTTAGCAGTTGCCAATTTTCTTTCTGAGGCAGCCAGGATTAGACAATTCCCAATTTTAGACACAGGCTGAAACATGCCTACAAAAGACATGTCCTTCTTGCAGTGAATGGCCACTCTCTTTGTGGCCCTTAAGGAAGGCCGTTTGGGTCTCCAAGGAGAAAGCAGAGGCGCACAAAAGCATTCTCAGTCTCCTTACGTGTTTTGGAAGAAGGACAGCATAGCAGTTAGTCTAGCATCTTGTGTGACTTTGGTCAACTTAAGTTGGGAAGGTTTTGGTTTTTGTTTGTTTGTTTTTTGTTTTTTGAAAATTGGTTCTTTTATCGTCTAGAGAGGGTCTAATGGAGCAGTAAATTCCCAGGGAAGTCCTTTCTTTTCCTTCTCCATTTGAGACAAGAGAAAGGGCAACCTCTATATAGAGTTTTCGGGGGCCAAAACTCTGAAAGGCAGCCTTTTGGAGGAGGAACGCGTTATTCCCGGTCTCAACCAAGGCCTCGGGTATTAACTTGTCTCTGCCAATTGAAAGGCAAGGGTGGGGGGCAATCAGGTTGGGAAGGGCCTGCTCTTCTTAACTATCTTTGCCTCTTCTTTTGTGTTCCCTCCACAGGATGACTTGAAGCCAGGCAGTTCCAAGGTAAGTCTCTTTTCTTGTTGGAGAAACTGCAACATTTAACTGGAAGTCATTGATTTTTTATAGTTTTAAACTGTTTTTATTATGAATTTTATTATGTGATTTAACTTGTTTTAAATGATGTATTTATGTGTGATCGGCATCTAATTGTTGCCAGTTTGTACGCCACCCTGAGTCGCCTTCAGGCTGAAAAGGGCAAGATAAAAATGTAGTAAATCTATATAAATAAAAATGTAATGTTCGTTTGTGGGATTAACATAACTTAAAAACCACTGGAAGAATTGACACCAAATTTGGACACAAGATGCCTATCAGGCCAATGAATGACCGTCACTCATAAAACACTGAAAAACACAACAGAAGGGATTTTAAAAGCCAAAAAAGCAAAAAGGCGCTACAGTGCATGCGCAAAACCACATATATATACACAAACACACATATATACACATAGGTAAAGGTAAACGTTTTCCCCTGATATTAAGTCCAGTCATTTCCATATGTGTTTATACACATATACACAAGTATATACACACACATATACACACCTATGCACACACAAAACACATATGCACAGACTGGGCCACAGCAACGCATGCCAGGGGACGGCTAGTCTTATATAAATAAAAATGTAATGTTCGTTTGTGAGATTAACGTAACTCAAAAACCACTGGAAGAATTGACACTGCGGGGGGGGGGGGGGGGCATGGAAGTTCAGGGGAACACTGAGTAGTCGGAGTCCATTCATAAAAACAGGAGGAGAGATAGGGGGTTATGGGATCAATATAGCCTGGTGTCCTTGGCAAAACTATGAATTCCCTGATTTTGAACTATCTTTTACAGAGCCCTGGAAGCGGGGGGGGGGGGGGGTCACCTCCGATCACATGAGGTCTGTTGGAAACTAGGAAAATGTGGAATGTCCAAAGTGGGAGAAAGAACTCTTGTCTGTTTGAAACTGTTAGGCCATTAAATGCTAATCAAGATGGCCAATTGAAACATTCACACCTACCTCAAACAGACAAGCGTTCTTTCTCCCACCCTGGACATTCCACAGATGAATAAACCTAATTTCCAACAGACCTCACAACCTCTGAGGATGTCTGCTATAGATGCAGGCCAAACGTCAGGAGAAAATGCTTCTGGAACATGGCCATACAGCCCGGAAAACTCACAACAACCCAGTGATTCCCACCATGAAAGACTGACAATGCAATTTGGAGAGCTGCATCCCAAAGAAGTGTTTACAATTTGCTTCCAAATACTTCCTTGTGTGTTCGACAATTTCCTAGCAATTTCAGGGAGGCCTTTTTCCCCAATGGGATTGGAGTGCAAAATGTGGACTCTGAGGAGATGTCATGGAGTCCAAAACACCTGGAGGGCCACAGGTTGGACACTGCTGGTCTGAATGCATGCAAAAGCAAAGTGCATGGAATCTAAAATAATGTAAACAGGTAAATGAGCTACCAAAGGCGTCAAAGCTTTAAATCATTCAAAACCACAAACGCCGAGGCTGGATTAGGGCAACTGGACTGAATCCAAAGGCAGGGGAAACTCTTTTGTGCCTCTGGGGTGAGCCTTTGAGCAGGAACGGAACCCTTCCAAGCTCTAAGAGGCTGGGGAAACCAGTGCAGCCCAGTGATCCCAGCGCCAGGTGAACCGTGGGTAATCGTAATGTCTTGGCGGGCGCACTTTCCCACGTTTTTTGGGGAAGGCGCCTTTGTCTGCCCGAATCAACAGACTGGTGTGCTGCGCTGCCCAGATGCCCGGCGGATCGGATCAGTCGTTGACAAATGTTGGAGGAGGATTAAAACATTTCTCCCTGCGGGGCTTGAGGTATTGTCTTCTTCCCCAGTTTCATGTCAACAAAGGCTTGGAGCCAGGGCCTTTTGGACTCTCTCCCTTGAGAGGCAGAATCATAGAAGAGTTGGGACCTGGCGACCCAATATTATAGAATCCTAGAACTGGAAGGCATCCAGTCCAGACAGAAAGACGACACCATCAAAGCCCTCTTAACAGATGGACATCCAGCCTCTAATTAAAGACTTCCAGAGAAGGAGACTCCATTAGACTTTTAGGAAGTTACATTCCAAAACTGTTGGAATACACCCCATAAAGACCATCTAGTCCTAGCCCCCTCTGCCATAAAGGAAGACACAATATGATCTCTCCCAAAAGATGGCCATCCAGCCTCTGCTTTGACTTCCAGAGAAGGAGACCCCACTAGGGTCTTTTAGAAGGTCTCCATTCTTCTAGAGTTGGAAGGGACCCCAAAGGCTATCCAATCCTTTTTTGCCAGATAGGAAAGCACCATCAAAAACCCTCCCGACAGATGGCCGTCCAGCCACTGCTAAAAGGCCTCCAGAGAAGGAAGCTCTGCTGGACTACTAGGAAATCTATATTCCACTAGAGTTGGAAGTGGCATCTAAACTGACCTGCTTCTCCCAGACAAAAAGACACCATCAAAGCCCTCCCAACAGATGGACATTCAGAAAAGGGGACTCCATTGGATTCTTGGGAAGTTACATTCCAAAAGAGTTGGAATACACCCCATAAAGGCTATCTAGTCCAAGCCCCCTCTGCCATAAAGGAAGATGCAATTTGATCTCTCCCAAAAGATGGCTAACCAGCCTCTGCTTAAACTTCCAGAGAGGGAGACCCCACTAGGCTTTTTGGAGGTCTGCATTCTTCTAGAGTTGGAAGGGACCCCAAAGACTATCCAATCACTTTCTGCCATCAAAACTCTCTGGACAGATGGCCATCCAGCCACTGCTAAAAGGCCTCAAGAGAAGAACGCTCTGCTGGACTCCTAGGAAGTCTATATTCCACTAGAGTTGGAAGTGGCATCTAATGTGCCATACAAAAAGGCACCATCAAAGCCCTCCCGAGAGATGGCCATCTAGCCTCGGTTGAAGTGGCCCTTCCCTTTCACCACCAGTTTATCCATGGAGGCCCTGGTCAATCCCCAGTGGCCTCCCTCCGGAGTCCGTCCTGCAGAGCCTTGTGCAAAGGCAATATCAGCCTCTTAGGAATCTGTGGCCATACCTTTCTGTGATTTATGGCCCTCCAAACAGCCTTGGCCCCTTGTTGTTCCTGCAAACACGCAGGCTGCAGTTTCATGTGTAAAGCCTCCCAGACGGAGAGTTTCGCAGGAACAGGGGAACTCATAAATAGATATGTGTCTGTGAGGGGACTAGTCAAGCAGGGCCGGTTTTGCCCCTTGTTTCTTGAATGCAGGGGGGCTGAGTGGGCTTCCAGTGCCTTTCTATACCTCCCCTTCCCCAGTTTGTTCTCTTTTAAAGATACTAAAATGAGTCAGAGAAAGGTTCTTTTGCAAGGGAAGAGGCCCCAATCCCTTTTAACTCCACATCATGTGCTTTTGTGTTCTCTTTTATGAAACAATGGCTGTGTCTCTATCTGAGAAGCTTCCACAGGTCACGCAATGGCATGTAATGGAGCTGTAATTGGAGCTGTAATTGTCTATTACAGCTCCTTATAATCCGCCATTTGCTCCAAAAAAGACTTAGGATCACAGACTGATAAAATTGGAAGGGACCTCTAGGGGTCATCCAGTCCAACCCCCCCCCTTTTTTTTTTGGTTGTGTTAGAAGCGACTTGAGAAACTGCAAGTCGCTTCTGGTGTGAGAGAATTGGCCGTCTGCAAGGACGTTGCCCAGGGGATGTCTGGATGAATTGATGTTTTTATCATCCTTGTGGGAGGCTTCTCTCATGTCCCGCATGAGGAGCTGGAGCTGATAGAGGGAGCTCAGTCTTCAGTCCTGCCAGCACATGGGTTTAACCCACTGCGCCACCAGGGGCTCCTAACCCTTCTGCCATAAAGGAAAACGCCATCAAATCCCTCCTGACAGATGACCATCCAGCTTCCCTGGCTACATAGAATCACAGAATTATAGAACTGGCTGGGATTTCTGGGAGTTGTAGGCCAACATCTGGGGATCCCAGGTTGAGAACCACTGTCATTGGCCATCCAGTCCAACTCCCTGCCAAGAAGCAGGAAAACTGCATTCAAAGCATCCCCAACAGATGGCCATCCAGCCTTTGTTTGCAAGCTTCCAAAGAAGGAGCTTCTACCCCACTCTGGGGCAGAGAGTTCCACTGCTGAATGGCTCTCACAGTCCAGAAATTCTTCCTAATGTTCAGATGGAATCTCCTTTCTTGTAGTTTGAAGCCATTGTTCCGTGTCCTAGTCCCCAGGGCAGCAGAAAACAAGTTCGCTCCCTCCTCCCTGTGACTTCCTCAACATATTCCACTTAGACACAGAGAGAAATGCTAGCACCTATACTGATTAGGAAGGCATGCTAGTTTTAACTGGAAAGGAAGATGGGAATTGGTTTGCCCACTATTTTTTGTGGTGGGTGCATCTACACTGTAGAATTGATGTAGTTTGGCAGCACCTTAACCTTCATTGTCTCATTGTTATGGAGTCTGGTGAGTCCCCAGTATCATTTGGCGAAAGGCTTTTCTAAAACGACAACTCCCAGCATCCCATAGCATTGAACCAGGGCAATTAAAGAGGTATTGAACTGCGATAATTCCATAATGTACATACACCTTTGCTTTACATTCTACAGTGTAGATGCACCTATAGTCTTAAGCTTTGGTGTGGCACTTTTCTTTTGTTGCTCCACCCAGCAGGGTGACTTGGTCAAATAAACCTATTGAAGGATCTCCTCGCTCCTAGTGTCCGATTAGATTGTGTGATATGTGATGTTATTTAATGTTTAATGTTTTATAATGTTTAATGTTTTATCAGGGAGGGTCAATTTTGATGTTTTATACTGTTTTTTATCGATGGCATTGAATTGTTGCCAACACTGTGAACCACCCTGAGTCCCCGTTGGGGTTGAGAAGAGCGGTATACAAATACCACAGATAGATAGATAGATAGATAGATAGATAGATAGATAGATAGATAGATAGATGATAGATAGATAGATAGATAGATAGATAGATAGATAGATAGATAGAAAGATAGAAAGAAAGAAAGA